CTTCTATTGCACATTATATCCACTTAAGTGAATAGAAACAGTGTAAAGAGATGGTGTTCCAGCTGTGCCCTTTGGGAAATTTGGTTTTGGCAACAGCAAAACATCATCCTTGAAATCAACGCTTGCCTTATCTTCTACAATGGGGAAGACAAACATACAAGATCCTGGTTTTTTCCTGAGATATGACGCTTGATAATCGATCATATTATATTTAGAAATTACTTTGGCCACTTAGTAAACAACAGTCTTTTTTCTTTTCAAATTTAATGAGTTTAGAGATTTCATGCAAACTTGTATATTGGGGCACTATTATACACTAGCGGGGCACTTTTATATGTATCAATGTGCCCCGTGTCTTAGTGTATCAAAGTGCCCCAATGGACATTTTCAAAAAAAACTAACAATTATGAATAAAACAACTGAACTTATTTAAAAATCATGTGTAATCCTGATTACTGAGTGGAATAACTTACCTTTGGTATTTTTAAATCTTAACTAAACGACATAAAACAGTGTTGGAACACTTTTACATTTCACATAATTTTTTAGTTGGGCATGCTAAAAACACACCTACTCTCGTCAAACGCCAACAGCTAACTGGCGGGTGGCGCAGTCACAACTGTTGTACTCACACATGTATAGACACGTTTTAGTGATGTTGAGACACGAATAACATTTCTCGATATTGAAATATTGTTGGTGTATCAATGTGCCCCGTGCATCTATGTAGAGCTGGAAAATGTTCAGAAAAGGGCAACCCAAATGGTCAAGGAGATGGGGCAACTTCTTCATGAGGAAAAGTTTCAGCTCTCAGGGATTTTTAGTTTAGAGAAAGGTGAGTAAGAGGTGGCAAAATATAAGTGTATAAGTTTATGCATGGCATAGAGAAACTGGGTAGAGAAAAAATGTTCAAGTAGTCTGCTCGGTCTACTATCGATGTCTGTCCTGCCCTTTATACAATTATTTCTGGCACTTCAATTGGTGCCAGGTGGCTGAACCTGAAATAGCAGGTTTTAATCCTCCACAATTCCCCTGATGTAGCTCAACTCCTAGGCCACTGTGGGAAACTGCAGATCACAGACCCGGCTGCCCAGTACTAATCAGAGTGCTTTGGCTCAGTGTTGCTACCATAGCTGGGAAGGGAAATCATTCCTGGGAGCCTGTGGGATTTTGCCAGGCCACACACTCCACCTGCTTGCAGGTTTGCTACAGGAATCTGTTAGCCACCGTTGAGAATAGGAGGTTGAACTTGACCTAGCCCAGAAGACTCTTCTTATGTTCTTACAGAGTGTTTTAATCTTGTGATAGTGCCTCTTTCTTGCTGGATCTCTTTGTCTGGCTGGAATGAAACCTATGTACAAAAGCAAGAGCCACTTTCATTGCTCTAACCACTTTGGCCTCTGACCCCGCCATATGCATGCTGCCCAGTGAGAGAATGTAGCATCTCGTATTTTAAAAAGCCAATGCAGAAGGCCCACTGACATAGGAAAGGGCCCCCCAAAGAGCACTATGCCAATGACTCTTTCAAATCAAATTTGACAAGTGGATGCACCTGCAAAGTATGGAGAAGGAAAAACTGCTATCTGTTAGCGGGGTGTCCCTTTTCTCCACTTCTCAATGTCTGGAAGAAACATATAAATAAGATTTTGCATCCTCCTGCATTATTACTCTTTTAAATATATATGTACTTTCTATTCTCTGAGTAACCCTCTATTAAAATAAGATTTCATGGCTTCCAGTCCTCTCAAATTGCAGAGCTTCTGCTTCCTATCATGCTATTTGCATGTCAATATTCATCTGAGATATCTAGTCTGACATTATTTTACCAGCGGCACAAATCTAATTTTAGTCCACTGTGCATATTAATGCACACACCTGTATATATATACCTCCAAGTGATGTGTACCAGGTAGAATTAGCCATCACCAGGGCAACAAATCTTAGCAACATCCTTCCTAGCAATCGTGTCTTCAGAAAGAGGGCTTATAGTATAATTTACCTGAGTCAACATGTGTATTTATATCTGCTTCTTGCTCTGAAACATGTGCATCTCAAATTCAGTGCTGGAAGGTATCTGGATGTGCTGCTACAGATACACCATGGTGTTTCTTCTTCTCCCAGTGGTTATTCCTCCTCTGGTCACTGCTGTGTATACAAACCTGACTGTCTGTCTCCAGACACTGCAATTGTCTGCAATGGATTCCCATAGGGTGGGGTTAATGTTGTCTGCCTTCATGTCATGCTTGTATACATCTTTGTAATGCAGAGTTGCTCTGCCAACAGGCCTAGTGCTTGAAGCATGTCCTTGGAGAGTATGCCATATTCCATTCTGCAGATATGACCAAGCCAACCTAGACATCACTGAGACAGAAATGTCGACATGCTTTGAATTTGGGCTTGGGAGAGCACATCTTTATTTTAGACTCTGCCTGCCATGTGATGCCCAAAATCTTCCTGACACAGCACATATTTACAGCAACATTATTTCTCTCTTTCTAATCTTTTTTGAAGCCAGTGCAAAAAGAGCCACTTTATGTGTCACAAAGCCATTAGTGTCACTCAAAAGAAATAATATTCTTTCTACCATGGTATTCCTGTTTCCATATGTCAACAAAGGTTTCGGAAATCTCTCTCTTGGATCATTATGGTTGGCATCTGTCTGTTGGAAGACAATGGAGGAATGTGCCTTTGGGGATTGGAAGGTTATAGCGCCTGCTGTGGCTATAGAGACCAAAATGGGAGAGACATGTTTTGTTGCAGCTGGGGCAGATGAAGGTGACCAGTTTTGCTGCTGCAGATGCACCATGGCATTTCTTCTCTCAGCGTTCCTCCCAGTGCTCATTCATCCTCTGGTCACTGCTGTGGATAGACGACATGATTGTCTGTCTCCAGGCACTGTGGTTGTCTGCAAGGATTCCCACATGACAGGGTTGATGTTGCCAGCCTTCACAGCACATACACTTCTTTGTAATGCAGAGCTGGTCTGCCAACTCTCCTGGTTCCTGAAGCCAGCTCCCCGTAGAACACATCCTTGTGATCCTGCTATCTTCCATTCTGTGGACATGACCAAGCCAGCCTAGATGTTGCTGAAACAGGAGTGTGAACATGATGGCAATGTGATGCCCAACATCTTCCTGACACAGAGCTTGTGGAAGGCATTGAGGTGTTGCTCTTGGCAGGTATAAGTTGCCCATGGCACATTTCCATAAAGCAACATGCTCAACATGCAAGCCTGGTAGATCTTCATTAGACATTATTAACAGATAGTAATTTATTCCAACAAATATTTCCCACAAATGCAGACTGGGTCTTTATAAGAGACCTTGTTATAGTGACCATCCAGGACTGCAGCTGGCATCTCTGGAAACTACAGCTCAATAAAAGCATTTCTTAGGGAAACAGTCATGAGTTTCATGAAATAACTGGCTCGAAGAGAAAATACCACAAACAAAATTTGGAGTTCCTATTTAGTTTAATGTCCCTTCTGTTGTCTATCCAGAAATGCAAGTCCCTTAATTGTCTCTTGTTCGTGACCAAGGCAACATTCAGCTCTGGGAAATAATAACTGTCTAAAAGATTTTGAAGAGTTGATTTCCAGAATTGGTTATTACCCAATTCCACCTAGCACAATTAAGGAAAACAGTCATTTGATGGTGTTGCAATTCATCTGATATATCTTAACTAAGCAAACTCTGCTCTAGCCTTAATTGATGGCCATACAGATTATGTGCATAATACAGCTGCAGAAATTCCTGATAGAAGGGTGGATGCCAGGTTGTAGTGTTTTAAGAAAGTTATAAAATGTTACCATATTTATACAAAGTTTGGGTTGCTATTCAGAGTTTTCACATGTTTAGTGATATTTTCTATTAGCATCACTATCCTTTGTGCCTCCATAGAAAAAGTTGCAGATGTTTCAGGGTTTCCCAGTTCTGTGCTATAAGTTGTCATGCAGCTACAAAAAGGAACATAATCAATTACCTATACTTTAAATTGATATGTTCATCTTGGAAGATAGTCAGCTGTGCTGTGCTTTGAACTGTATGTTGAGCAATAAGGCTTCTTTCATAGAAAACTCTCAACCAAAACATCCATAGTCTTTCACAAATCCACTACGTCTTGAACATCCTCTCCAGCAGAGATGGGAGGGTGATCGGTTAATAAGGTTACATTTCGGAGAAGTCAAGTGCCAATTATGGAGTAGTTTAGAAGTTTTTTTGGGTTTTTTTATGTTATACCAGTTCACCTGCTCCACCCAATCCCCAAGTCTTCCTTCCAGATTTGTTTTAGAGCAGGGTTTCCCAAACTTGGGTCTTTGCTGTTTCTGGACTACAGCTCCCATCATCACTGAAGGCTGGTCCTGCTAGCTGGGGGTGATGGGAGTTGTAGTCCATACAGCTGGAGACCCAATTTTAGGGAACCCTGATGTAGATAATACTGATCTAGATGGGCCAATGGTCTGACTCAGGATAATGCTGAACTACAGTCTATTCCCATTTGAGCCAAGTAGTTTTGGATCTTACTTGCTGGCTGGATGCAAGACTTCCTAAGAAATATATATAGGTTGGGTAACAAATTTTGACAAACAAATATGTGTACAAATGCTCATACCTAGCAGTCATAGCTCTGGGACATCCGTTGAAGCTGAATATTGGAACTTTAAAGGCAGACAAACAAATTCATCTTTTCACATATGGATTTGCTTCCACAAGAGGTATTGATGGCCATCAACTTTGAAGGTGGATTAGACAATTCATGGAGGCTATGGCTATCTGTGTCTACTAGCTGCAATGCTTATGTTCCACCTCTGCCACCAGAGGCACTATGCTTGTGAATGACAGTTGCTGGAAACCACAGAAGGAAAGAGAATCACAGTATCAATACAATAATACATAAGATAATCAATAAAGTAAGCCAACATCCAAGATCATAGAATCAAAGAATCATAGAATTGTAAAGCTGGATCATCTAGTCCAACCCAGTGCAATGCAGGAATCATTTGCCCAATGTGGGGCTTGAATCCATGACTCTGAGATTACGAGTCTCATGGTTTACCTATTGATCTACCCCTCAGGGTGTTTTTGTGCTCAGGTCCTGCTTGTGGGCTTCCCATAGGTATCTGGTTGGTCACTGGGAGGGCAGGATGCTGGACTAGATGGGCCTTAGTCCTGCCCCAGCAGAGCTTTGTTAGGTTATTTTCTTTCTTTCTTTCTTTCTTTCTTTCTTTCTTTCTTTCTTTCTTTCTTTCACTCTCGCTCTCACTCTCTCTGTACACAGCTTAAAAGGAAAAGTATACTTTCTGTGGGGGACACAGGTGGCGCTGTGGGTTAAACCACAGAGCCTAGGACTTGCCGATCAGAAGGTTGGCGGTTCGAATCCCCGCGACGGGGTGAGCTCCTGTTGCTCGGTCCCTGCTCCTGCCAACCTAGCAGTTCGAAAGCATGTCAAAGTGCAAGTAGATAAATAGGTACCACTCCAGCGGGAAGGTAAACGGCTTTTCCGTGCGCTGCTCTGGTTCGCCAGAAGCGGCTTAGTCATGCTGGCCACATGACCCAGAAGCTGTATGCCGGCTCCTTTGGCCTGTAAAGTGAGATGAGCGCTACAACCCCAGAGTCGGCCACGATTGGACCTAATGGTCAGGGGTCCCTTTACCTTTACCTTTTATACTTTCTGTATCCGCAAAATGATGAAAACTTTCTCATGTTTAGCAATCCATTTGATATATTCATCAGCATCCACTCTTCTTTTCTTTCTCTCCTCTCTCTCTCTTTCTGTCTGTCTCTATCCCTGTCCCTGTCTCAATAGCATTTGCATTCTGAATGCCTTTTTAGCATCATTGGTTGGTGGACTGCTCCTTCTCCATTTTTCTCATTTCCTGCAGCCAGGCTCTAATTTATCTTAAATGCTTCTTTTCCTACCTTTTTTGGGGTGTGTTTTTTGAACTTGTTTATTTATTTCCAGGTCCACTTAGCAACCTGGACTTGCCTGATGCTATGCTTTGCTCTCTGCTGTCCCCTGCTGCCTTTCACTGAAGCATTGGCAGAGAGAGACCAGGAATGCTTTCAGAAGGGTTACTAAGGCTGGAGCAAAACATGGAAGGAGACATGTGGGGCTGTTTCCAAAAGCAGCAGCTAGTAACATCTGGAAGTGTGATCCCTGCTAGCAAAAACAATTATAAAAGAGCAGAGAAGTCCACAGTCAGGGCCAACCAAAGCCATTATGTTGCCTGAAGCAAAGGGTGTGATTGCACCTCTCCCATTTTGTGTGCAGAAGCCAACAGGACTGGAAGCTGGCTCTTACTTCAACAATGGCTATGAAAGGGGGTCTTCTACTGCATCTGAGCATAGCTGGCCACTAGGGGTTCATGAACAACATGTGGCACACACAGTTCTGATCTCCATCTGAGGAAGCTGCCTCACTCTGTCTAATAGTAGCACCAGCCAAGCTCCTGGTGCAATGATAGAAAGTCATGCATTTTTATTCCACCACCAGATAGACTAGCGGAAAACCTATGCTTCAAAGGCATGCTGAAAGAGGAAAGTTTTCAACAGGCACCAAAGTTACAATAAAGAAAGTGCCAAGGTGAATCTTGTCATAGTTACTCAATAGCAGAGGCAAACATTTTGGCATATGTGTAGAGACATCCTTTTTTCATATTAACTGTACATGTTCCAGCTGAAAACAGGCTGTAAAGCTCCCTCACCAGTGAGGTTGTGTCCTGTCTCTTATCTCCTATCTGCCTATCTGCCTGAAGGTTATGTTCTACCTCCACTCTGACAGCATGCCTCTTAATATCAGTTGCTTGGAATAACAAGTGGGGATAGTTTGCTGTTAATAATGTGTGTGTGTGTGTGTGTGTGTGTGTGTGTGTGTTTGTGTGTGTGTTAATTTATATCCCACCCATCTGGCTAGGTTTCCCCATCCACTCTGGGCGGCTTACAACATATATAAAAACACAACAAAATATCAAACATTAAAAAAAAAAACATATGCAAGCAACAAACAAACCAATAAATCAATAGAAACAAACAAAAACAACAACTATAACAAAATAGTTTACTTTTATACCCAAATTTAAGTAACCTAACCGCCAACCCCAACTAAACATTTAACCAACACCAACCCTACAAAAATGAAACAGAGAAACCAAAATTAGGACCATTTAAAACATTTTAAAAACATTTTAGTCAGTTGCCCCGACCTAAGAGTTGTTCCATCAATGTCCCTCCAGCTTCCCAGGAGCCTCTTTTAGCTGCTCTGGGTGAGTCTGGGCCCCGCCCCCTAGGCTAGGTTGAAATGGGTCTTGCAGCAGAAAGCGGTCTTCCAGCACTTACAGCAGCAGCAGCAGTTGTTGTTGTTGTTTCTGTACTATCCTTCATCTGAGGATCAAAGTGCAGTTTATAATATAAAACCACAAAAATACATGACATAGTAAGAAATGCAAATAATACACCCACACAGTTTAAAAGTCCATAGATTGTTTAATTAGCCAAGGGCCTGGGAGAAGAGGAATGTTTTTGCCTGGCACCTAAAGATATGTAACAAAGGCACCAGGCAAGACTTCCTGGGAAGAGTGCACCACAAAACGAAGCCACTGCAGAAACGGGTCATTCTTGTATTGCTGCCCTCTAGACCTCTTGTGGAGGAGGCACATGAAGAAGGCCCTCAGATGATGATCATGTTCTGCTTATGGGCTGTCCAGAGGCATTTGGCTGATCACTGGTTGAACGTTCCGCTTTAACCAGGCCTTTGGCTGATTGACATTCAATACTCTTAAAAAATGTGTTGGGGATGGGAGATTATTGATCTATTTTTGTTTTTATTATGTATATATGCTTTTTTTATATTGTGATTGTATCTTGTAAACTGCCCTGAGACCTGTGGGTACAGGAAAGTATTAAAAATTAATTAATTAATATTAATAATGACTGTGTGAATAGGATGCTGGATTAAGTTCGGCCTTTGGCCTGGTACAGCAGGGCTCTTCTGGGGTTTGTTCGTTTTCCTTTCTCTCTCTCTCTCTCTCTCTCTCTCTCTCTCTCTCTCTTTCTTTCTTTCTCAAATGTTGATGCTAGGTGGTAGAATAATGTAAACTGCAGTTGCTCGAAACTCATCGCCAGTGTTAATTTCTCACTCTAGTACACACTGACATAACACAAGTGTCAACGCATTTGAACTAGCATTTGATATTAATTGGGATTTAACTGTAAACTGTAGTTTTAATTTCACATAAACTAGCATCTGTGCACTTAATTACATAAGCTAATGATCTATCCAAAGTATGTACAAGGTGCTATGGTTCAATGAATAAATGATAAGACATTTGGAACAATGCACCGTAATCTGTGTTTTTTCTCTACTACTGGAATAAAAAGAGCAACATCTCACTGCAGAAACATAGGAGCTTCTCCAGCACAAGCTATGGTCTAAGCAAGAGATGCAGTCTAAACTAGGGATGCTTCTAAAATTCTGCTCAACTGAAGGGCTGTGGCTCAGTGGAAGAGCTTCTACTTTGCATGCAAAAGGTCCCATGTTAAATTCCTGGCATATTCATGCTGAGTCAGCTGATTAGCCAGTCTAGTTCAGTGTTGTTTACACTGACTAGCTATGGCTGCTCCCCACATTGGTTGGTCCTTTATTGAGCCTTACTCATTAACTCATCCTTCTCATAGCTGAGGTCCATAATCATCCAAATGTTTGGTTTTACAAACATGTCTAGCTCTCAGGTACATTTAAAGTTAAGCACTTCAGCAAAAAAAAGTGTTCTCCCCCTCTCCTATATGTAATTAACACTTTTAATGGAGGTGCAACATAAACACACACAGCACCTCCTCTTTATCAGCTGTGAATTACAGTTGTTGTTGTTGCTGCTGCTGTTGTCTTTGCATCTTCCATTGACGTAGCAAATGAGAGTTGGCAAATAAGTGAAGGGTCAATTTTCTTTGTTGTTTAAGCCTTAGGAAAAGTGCAGAGGAAAGGCAGCCCATTGAAACCCTAATGAGCACTGCACTGAATTAATAACTTTTCCCTCTTCCCCTCTAGAATTAATTCATGGCTTACACTGACATTAACTCTTCCTCGAAAATCCCATTTGCATTATATAATGCCCTGACATTATCCCGCTGGCAACAGATGCTCTTCTTCTCCTGGAAAAAATGAAAGGAGTCAATTGTTTTTTAATGTGATTTTTTAAAAAAAGGATTTGAAAATAGATTTATAAGTTAAACTGAATATTCATATGCCACTTTGTTTGAAGAGCAAATCTGATTCAGGCATTAAGGTGTCATCCAATGTTTAAGACAGAGATGGGAGTCATTTGACGGGACACAGTTCAACAAAACATTTAAGCAGCAATGATGCCTTGTTGAACATAAAAGTGTGCTTTAAAGCTCATGTGGTTGAATGAGAGGCAATTCCTTCTTGGAAAAAAACCTCCCTACTTTTGGAGTTTATAACTGCATCACTAAAAATGTGTGGATCGCAAAATGACAGGATTTGAAACCACAGTGAGTCTTGACCTGCTGATCTGTGGACTGTCAAGCAAGTGTTTGATCTATGCACCACCACAGGGGAACTGTAGGGAGATCAACAACCAAAGAAACCTCTTTGTACCAATAGGACAGAGTGATCCATTACAAAAGCTTCTGGATCAAGCAACTAGAATTTCTAGTCAGGTCTGGACCATGGACAGCAGTTTGAGGGGAATTGATAGCCAAGCCAGAATACAAGCCAGAAATCAGGACTAAAGAACAAGTCATGACCAAAAGCAAGCCAAGGGACAAGTCCCAGGAGCAAATTCAGGAACACCCCAGAACTCAGGAATGTCATGTTGCTTGAACAAGGCTCAACTAGAGCAGGAAGTCCTTTATACTCCTTCCTGCCAAGAAGAAGACAATGGCCAGACAGCGTGAGCATGGTCAGGTATTTTAGTGAAAAGGTTATCATCTGCAATTCAATGGTTCACCATGTGGGGCAGTCACACACAGATCCCACAATCCCAAGACATTTCTACACTACAGATTGCCTTCAGCCTAGTACTCCTGCTGCCCACACCTTGTTTTGATGGCCATGGCTAACTTTGACCCTTTTCTTTCAATGAGTCAATGAGTCAAACAAAGAAAGCTGCCCTATGCTAATTGAGACCTATTAGTTCATCTAGCTTGTTGTTGTTGTTTAGTCGTTTAGTCGTGTCCAGCTCTTCGTGACCCCATGGACCAGAGCACACCAGGTACTCCTGTCTTCCACTGCCTCCCGCAGTTTGATCAAACTCGTGTTAGTAGCTTTGAGAACACTGTCCAACCATCTCGTCCTCTGTCGTCCCCTTCTCCTTGTGCCCTCCATCTTTCCTAACATCAGAGTTTTTTTCCAGGGAGTCTTCTCTTCTCATGAGGTGGCCAAAGTATTGGAGCCTCAGCTTCACGATCTGTCCTTCCAGTGAGCACTCAGGCCTGATTTCCTTCAGAATGGAGAGGTTTGATCTTCTAGCAGTCCATGGGACTCTCAAGAGTCTCCTCCAGCACCAGAATTCAAAAGCATCAAGCTTACTGTTGTCTAAACTGAATGGCAGTTATTTTCCAGGGTTTTAGACAGGATGTTTCCCCTCACCCTGCCAGTTGCTGGAAAACACAGGAGGGGAGAGTGCTCTTGTGCTCAAGTCCTCCTTTCAGGCTTCCCACAGGCCATTTTTAGAACAGGATGCTGGAATTAGATGGGCTATTGGCGTAATCCAGCAGGCTCTTATATTCTTAAGATGAACATGCCACAGGTGATTGTAGTAATGTGGTTGTGTGAAGAAGTGTAACATAAATAATAATAATAATAATAATAATAATAATAGTAATAATAATAATAATAATAATAATTTATTATATATACCCCGCCCATCTGGCTGAGTTTCCCCAGCCACTCTGGGCGGCTCCCAATCGAGTGTTAAAAACAATACAGCATTAAGTATTAAAAACTTCTCTAAACAGGGCTGCCTTCAGATGTCTTTTAAAGATAGGATAGCTGCTTATTTCCTTCACATCTGAAGGGAAGGTGTTCCACAGGGTGGGCGCCACTACCGAGAAGGCCCTCTGTCTGGTTCCCTGTAACCTCTCGCAATGAGGGAACCACCAGAAGGCCCTCGGCGCTGGATCTCAGTGTCCAGGCTGAACAATGGCGGTGGAGAAGCTCCCTCAGGAATACAGGACTGAGGCCGTTTAGGGCTTTAAAGGTCAGCACCAACACTTTGAATTGTGCTCGGAAACTTACTGGGAGCCAATACAGATCCCTCAGGACCGGTGTTATGTGGTCCTGGCGGCCAGTCCCAGACACCAGTCTAGCTGCCACATTCTGGATTAATTGCAGTTTCCAGGTCACCTTCAAAGGTAGCCCCACATAGAGTGCATTGCAGTAGTACAAGCAGGAGATAACTAGAGCATGCAGCACTCTGGTGAGACAGTCTGCGGGCAGGTAGGGTCTTAGCCTGCGTACCAGGTGGAGCTGGTAGACAACCGCCCTGGACACAGAATTAACCTGTGTCTCCATGGACAGCTGAGTCCAAAATGACCCCAGGCTGCGCACCTGGTCCTTCAGGGGCACAGTTACCCCATTCAGGACCAGGGAGTAGTCCACAACTGCCCACCTCCTGTCCTCCAGAAACAGTACTTCTGTCTTGTCAGGATTCAACCTCAATCTGTTAGCCACCATCCATCCTCCAACCACCTCCAGGCACTCATATAGGACTTTCACCACCTTCATTGGTTCTGATTTAAAAGAGAGGTAGAGCTGGGTGTCATCTGCATACTGATGAACATCACCATAAGCAGTGCAGGTGAGGTGCCCATCCTCACATACAGATACAAGTGTCATGGGTTACAGCACAAAATGGCTGTCATGGGCAGCAAAAAAAGAAAAGATACTCTGTACCAATGAGGACTGGCACCCCCAAAAACCCTGACTATAAGTAGTATATGGAATCCCACATTTACAGGATGTTGTAATAGCCACTAATTTAGATGGTTCTCAAAGAAGTTTAGACAGATTCACACAGGAGGATGGGTTTATTAGCCTTGAGTATTAGCCTTGATATCAAAATATTCTATAATATTGGAAGTACTTTCTTGTCTTATTTGTGGGCTTCTCAAATTTGGGTAAAGGTAAAGGTAAATGTACCCCTGACCATTAGGTCCAGTGGTGGACGACTCTTGGGTTGCGGTACTCATCTCGCTTTATTGGCTGAGGGAGCCGGCGTACAGCTTCAGAGTCATGTGGCCAGCATGACTAAGCCACTTCTGGCAAACCAGAGCAGCACACAGAAACGCCGTTTACCTTCCCGCTGGAGCAGTACCTATTTATCTACTTGCACTTTGACATGCTTTCGAACTGCTAGGTTGGCAGGAGCTGGGACTGAACAACAGGAGCTCACCCCATCATGGGGATTCGAACTGCCGACCTCATGATCGGCAAGCTGATAATGTGGTTTAACCCACAGCGCCACCCACGTCCCTCAAATTTGGGTAGAAACACCTAAATAAAAGCATCTTGTTGGCCAGTGTAAGAAGAAGGATGCTAGTCTGGATGGACTTTTCCTCTGAACCTGATGGGTTCGTCTTACATTTTTGAGTCCCATTAGATGTATATCTGCATAAGTTTTTAGATCCTGGACAGGGAGCCTCGTAGAATTCAGTATTCATTATTTTGGATTAAAACCTTATATGACATTACCATAGGCAACCAAATCCAGCAGGTATTTTGATAATTACATTGAGCTGAATATATTCGTGAAATATTAATCTTATGTTGCCTTCATATATTAACTTGATGCCTCCCTCAAAACACTCCAATATGAATATAGCACTGCAGATCTTGATCAAGCTCGTTTGAAGAAAATTTTGGCAACTCTCTCCACTTGCAAAGTAAATCCTAGGGGTTTTTGTTTGTTTGTTTTTACCCTGTACAAACAAAATACAAGATTAAAGGTTATAGACTGGTCTGTCAGGGAATATACAATCAATCCCTTTCCCCATGGAATTCTGTGAATTGTAACTTTCTGAGGCAAATATGGGTCTTACAGAATTTATCTGCAGAGTTTATCTTGCTACAGCATCACACCTTTGACTCATGTTAGGCTTGTGGACCCTTACACCCTTTTCACATGTTCTACTGGCAAGCCAGGTGCCCCCCATCCTATATTTGTGCAGCCAGTTATTCCATGTTGAAATTCATTAGTTTTGGCCCAGCTCTCCAATCTGTTAAGGTCATATTGAATCCTGAATATGTTTTCTGTAGCATTGGCTAGCTAGGCTGCATCAACAGAAATGCATCAAGTGCAATTATAGTACCACTCTACTCTGCCTTGGCCAGATCACACCTGGAGTACTATGTCCAGTTTAAGAAGTATATTGAAGGCTGGAACATGTGAATAATAATAATAATAATAATTTCTTTTACCCAGCCTGATGGGGTTGCCCCAGTCACTCTGGGTGGCTTCCAAGAAAAACAGAAATAAAACAAAGAAGAAGCAAACAATAATTTTTTTCCAATACAAGGTTGCTTTCAGAGTACATGCA